CCCGGAAGGGGTTGACATCCACATGTTGAGAACTGCTGAAAGCCAAATATGAGCTTCCCTTTGGGTGGTGCTAACACTCCCAGAGAGGGGCGGCAGGGAGCAGCATCTTACCATGAGGTAAGACAGAAAGACAGCCCTGATCAAGAGCATCTTCTAGGGCCAGAGATCTGAAAGTCTCTGGCTTCCTTTCCTAAATACCAGTATGGCAGGGAGAGCAAATACTCCTCCTCCTTCCCCAAGAAGTCTTTTAGAGATACTAAAGCCCCAAAAGCTAGGTAGGCTAGTAGTGACTTACTGGGAGAGAAAGGCTGTGCCGGGAGTCTTGACTTTATATTTGAGCCAGCAGTTTGCTACACTACATTCTAGACAGACAGCACATCTTATCCTCCCCTCCAGTTGCATTCTGGCCTGTTTATTTTGGTAAACACTGCCTGACTGTCCCTCCTAGTCATCAGGGAAGAAGGCAGCTGCTATGTAATCAGATCCTAAGGAACTGACTTTGACCAAGGTCATTGGTGAGTCACAGGGCTGGATTTGTTTTGAATGCTCTGGCTCTTCCTGTCTACCTGTCTGTGGTTGACCCTCTCTTGACCTATGTGGGCTGAAGGCAGAAAGGCTAAAGTGGTTTCAGACCAGCTTCCTGCTGTTCTTCCCTTCCTCCTTCCTCCCTAGGGTCCTGTAGGCTAGAGGAACTCCCACTGCCCCAGTCTCTCCAAACACCTTCTCCCCAGCTCTGCATCCTTCACTCTAACTCTTGGCTCTTAGCCAAACCTGACATGGACCACCAACAGGGCACACTAATGTCCAGATAGATCATCTTACAGTTGTCAATGGTGCCAGCCAAGCATCCTGAGAACAGCCCCCAAGGGCCTGGTGGTGGCATCAGTATCACTACCCATCAGGTACACAGGCCCTCCATCCTTGGTCCTCCAGTGGCTGTTGAGTCACTTGTCATCAAATCCCAACTTACTCATTCTCCAAAACTGCTTCCTGAAGCTGGTGGTGGGGCTGCCCTTCGCTAAACACACGAGAAAGGCAGAGCAGGGGTTCTGTCCCAGACACTAAAAGTCTGGGCATTTCTAAGCCTTCTCTGGATCTGAGCCCAGAGAAGCTATGTGAAAAGACTCAGAACAGAATCTGTTGAGCTGGCATTTGCTGAAGCCTTCTCGCATCTGGCCCTACAGCAGGGGTGAGTGGCTCTGCCTCTGGTTCACTGAGCCTGAAACCTGAGACGGTGTGGGCACTAAAAAGCACAGCTCTGGCGGGGCTTCATAAAAATACAACCAGAGGCTTCGGCTTCCCAAATCTCCCTTTTGCTGTGCAAAGGGTCTGTTTTGGTGTGTGCCTTGTTTTGTGTGTGCATTTCCTCACCCCTATTAAAGGCCTTCTTCTACTGGTGAAAAACAAGAAACCAGTCAACCAAACAAAAACCCACTCCTTTGGGTTTGTAAAGGAAAACAAACTCAGGGGGCACTAAGGTTTGATGGTAATAAGAGTGTGGACTTCAGAGTCACAACTTGGAACAGCTATGTCTCTGAGTACATTACCTATTCTCCTTGGGCTAGGGGCCTTTGTGCTTGGTACACAGGTTTGCTTCGGAGCCTTCTGGCCCACCTCATTCTCTTTTACCTGCAGAAACCTAGCGGGTGTTTGCCTCTGTAAATATCTATAAGCACCGTATTTGCCCAGCACAGCTCTACTCCCTCCTGGGATTGGGCTATTCCAGGCTTCCAGGTAGATCATCTGGTAGATCTAGAAATCAGCACAGTCACACAAGATTTCATATGCCTGAAGGTCCACGAGGTACCACAAAACACAGATAGAGAGCAACAGAAGCGAAGTGACAAGAGACCAGATTCCCTGCCTTCTGCAATGGCTCACAAGGCCCCAATGCCAATGCTTCTATTTATAGACTGTAGCTAAGTGATCCTGGCTTACAATGGCCAAGGAGATGAGCAGAGCAGGCAAACCACGCATGGGTTAAGATGTCTAAACACACAGCAAATGCAATGTAAAGGTTAAGACAGCATGTTTGAGAGCTTGTTTGGAGGTTCTAGCAGGGGAGTGCAGCTACTCGTATACCCTTAACCGAAGACGGGTCCTCCTCTATTCGGGGAATGTCGTCCTCTTCGACCGAGACAGCATGTTTGAAAAGGACAAAATTTGGTCTGAATAATTTCTTAGAAAGGGCAAATATGGCCAGGTGGTGGCGGTTGTATGCCTTTAATCCTAGCACTTGGGAGGCAGAGGCAGGCGAATCTCAGTGAGTTCGAGGCTAGCCTGGTCTACAAAGTGAGTTCTAGGACAGCCAGGACACAGAGAAACCCTATCTCAAGGAGAAAACAAGACAAATACTTCTGTGAACAAACATATTTTAACATGCCTTTGGCGGGGAAATATACCAAGAGATATCATATATTATGAGATCTTTTTTTTTTAACAACAGCCCAAGTAAAACAAGGGATAAACATAATTAAGGAGACAGCACCATTTTATTCTGGCATCAATGAATGGGAGGCAGTTATCAGTGATGTCACCCAGCAGGGCAAGCCTGGGGAGCTCACTTCACTCTTTTCCTGGATCTCTGAAATAAGGATGCCTCTCTCTATACCATTTGCATGTTATGACCCTTCCACCCCAGGGATGACCTGCAAAGGACAATCATCATAAACTCTTTCCCAGTTTGTGTGTCACACTCAACTCCTGAAGCAGAAACACCATGGTGCCAAATGGCAAAGGCCTGAATGAAGACCAGTGCAAAGAAATGGGAAAGCAAAAAAAAAAAAAAAAAAAAAAAGAAAGAAATGGGAAAGCATCCGGTTCAAACTTAACAGCCTTTCTGCCATCAGGTATATGCTAAGAAAAAGCTGCATATCAAAAGGCCTCCATCCATGGTATAACCTTGGTCTTGGAAGACAAATTCAGGAAGAAGGTGAGAAAAAAGTCTCAAACCAGAGCCTCCACCCTGTTCTCTATAAAAATCATCCCAAAGTCTTGAATGTGCAAAGAGAAGCAAATGTTAAAGAGAACTCACCAAGAAGGACAACACTAGGTGACAGGGCTTTTCAGCTACAGCAGTGTTTTTATTTCAACTCAGAGGGGGCCCTGACCTTCTCACCAAATTCCAGGGCGTGAGCCCTTCATGAGATACCTTGCACATATCTAACAGCACTACACCAGAACCAGAGAGCAAAGAAGAAACATGAAAACCTCTGAGACTAGTTCCAAGGACTTGAGGGCAACAAGGTGTGACCATTTGGGACCCACTGACCATTGTTAGATTAAAAATCAGGAAGCACAGTCCTGCTTTCATACCACACAGTCTTTCTCCTCACTCCTAGAAACAGAAGAGGAGCTATGAGACTCCTGAGACAGGCCATCCACTAAGCTCTGGACTCCTATTTCATCCAGTAAACAGAACAGGTATTTCCTTCTGCCTGCTGGTCTGAGAAATCCGACGACAAATAAAGCAATCGTTTCAATCAGGCATACCTATACGGGCACTGAAAGCCAAATTCCAACTGGTGAGTGTGGCAATGGAGCTGATGTCTGATGACCTGGGATGCCACAAGTACCCTCTACTAGAAGTTCAATTATCAATTATCATAGAATACTAATATATCTTTTACAATTAGTCATATTAACAGTTGTGTTTTCTCCATCAATCTCCAAAACAACTTTTCTGCATCTCAGGTCTATTAGAAGCGGGTGGCTAATCGTGATACCTAACACCCTATTTCTTCTACCTATTAACGTGCCCTTCCTCTGGCAGAAATCTAAAATAGCAACATTCTGAATAGGTGCCTGGCTGAATGGGATTGATGAGGAGCTAGACCCCCAAACAGAGCCACCTGGTGGGCATGAAAATCAAGTAAGAACGGGGCTGTTGCCTTCAACAAATGATTGCCTCTGGTTATCTATGCTTCCTTCAGTCAGTTCGTTTTGCACCACCCCTCAAGCCGGGAGAGCAGGAGCTCAGCGCCCTCACCTTTCAGTAGATCCGGGTGCACGTAGCCCAGCACGTCCGAGACCCCCAGCTCCTGGCGGGAACAGGTGCCTCCGTGGATGTGCAACCAAGCGGGCTCCGCCAGGGCAGTACACAGCGCTGTGATGGACAGGGCGCCAGGCAGGGCCGAAGCCAGGCTCCGCTCCGGCTGCTTGGGCAGAGCGCTGCTTCCCGGGCTCCTCCGCCGGCGCCCTCCCGGCAGCCCTGCGCCTCCAGGGGCATACATGCCCGGGGCCGCCCGCTGTAGCTCTGCGGTGGCTGCTGACGGCCGCCGACCTCAGCGGGGGGCGCAGAGCCTGTCTGTACCCGGGTGAAGAGCAATGCAATGGGTGGCTGGCCCGGAGCTGTCAGAGCCCGCACCAGAGACTGCGGGGTGGGACCCAGGGCTAAGCACAGATCAAAGGACTGCGGGAATTCGGGGGGGCGGGGACCGAGGGCTCTGGATGAGGATTAGTGAACCAGGGAGAGGGCAGGGGACTTAGGTGGGCTGTGGATATGCCAGGATAACAGGCGGAGGTACTGGGGGGGGGGGGGGGTTCAGCTACTGGCGCGGGGCGCGGAGGAGATTTACACCGGGGTTATTGGACAGAGGGTTGCGGAGGGGCGGAGGATGCGGCTGGGCCGCCGGGATCTGAAACCCGCACTTTGAGGTGCGACCTAAACCACAGTGACCCTCCCAACTCTAGTCCCTACTCCTCACCGGTCAGCAGGCCTCAGAGCCGGGATGGCGCCGCTCCGCCCGGTCACGGGCCTCTCAGCTGCCCGGGGCAAGCGATCCCAGGCCCCAATCCCGCAACGCCCAGACGGACCCGGGCTGATGCACTTCCGGCTTCCTCCAGCCCCACCCCACCGCCGCCTCCGCCTCCTGCTCACCGCTCTGCCCTCTGCCCGCGTCACTGTGTGCGCGCGCACGACCTGTTCTCGCGCGGGGCATCAGGGGACTGGTAGTTCGGAACAGTCCCGCGAGGCTTCCCGTTGTGGAGGGTGACAGAGAGTGACTACAAGACCCAGAAGGCAGCGCGGCCTCAGCAGCGGGCGCTTCAGTTCCCAGAGCGACCCCTCTGGCTCAAGTTGGACATCTGGCGACCGCGGGGTCCTAAGGTGGCCACCGCTTTCCGCACGTTCTTTCAGCGTCCTCCTTCTCACCCTGAGACGGCCGCCATGAAGGATTCGCTGGTGCTGCGGAGCCGTGTCCCGGCGCACCCGGACTCCCGCTGCTGGTTCCTGGCCTGGAACCCCACGGGGACCCTGCTGGCCTCGTGCGGCGGCGACCGTAAAATCCGCATCTGGGGCACCGAGGGTAAGGCCTGGCTTGGCTTTGTGACCCTGGTACAGAGGAAGACGCCACTCTGGGGAAAAGGGTTTGTCGGGGGAAGGAGTGTGCAAGCGTCAACAGACAGTCTGGGATTGTTGCGGAACTGGGATATTTCCTGAGGAAGAAAAATGAGAAAAGTAGTCTGAAAAACAATTTGACGGTTTTAGGACCCCTTGTAGAGGAAGCAGTCGCTTGCATCATTGTAATGGTGATTGAGTTTGTCCCAAAGGATTTCGCTTTCAGTACTAGTTATTGGATGGCATTGATGGTGCTCCAAACCCTAGCCTGTTCTCTGCCTGTAGGTGACAGCTGGATTTGCAAGTCTGTCCTTTCTGAAGGCCATCAGCGCACTGTTCGGAAAGTGGCCTGGTCCCCCTGTGGAAATTACCTGGCCTCTGCCAGCTTTGATGCTACCACTTGCATTTGGAAGAAGAACCAGGATGACTTTGAGGTAACCAGGCTGGATGGGAGCAGATTGTTACCTGTTTGAACCCCAGGGCTGGGTCCACCGGATCTTTACTTAATGTTTATACCACAGAAATGGTAGCTGGGTATGGTAGTTCATGACACTAATCCCAGCATTTGGGATACTGAAGCAAGAGGATTGCTACAAGTCCAACGTCATCCTGGACTGTAGTATGAGACCCTGTCTCAAACAACAAAATTGTGATCTTAGATGTTTTACTAGAGCCTACACCCTTTAGCTGCCATTAATTCACAACCTTTTTCTGTTTCCAGTGTGTAACCACTCTGGAGGGTCATGAAAATGAGGTCAAGTCAGTGGCTTGGGCCCCGTCTGGCAACCTCCTGGCTACCTGCAGCAGAGATAAGAGTGTGTGGGTCTGGGAAGGTGAGTCCAGGTGCCTCTAGGTACAATGGAAAACCAGCTCACTGACTTTCAGCTTTGTTCCTGACAGGCTGGGCTCTTTGGTTCTTTTTTTTTCCCCACAGTTGATGAAGAAGATGAGTATGAATGTGTCAGTGTCCTCAACTCTCATACACAGGACGTTAAGCATGTGGTTTGGCACCCAAGCCAGGAGGTAAGAGTCAGATGAGGCAAGGAAGAACCCTGATGTGGAGGCTTGTGCCCAGCCTTCGTATACTCTTTGACATCACCCTCAACTTTCGTAGGGATCCCTGGGACTGCCATCCTGACAAGGTTTGATATTGGAACACCTCCTGGGCCGTACAGACAAGTGCTGTGTCTTCTTTCTTACTTTTTCAGCTTTTAGCTTCTGCCAGCTATGATGACACAGTGAAGCTGTACCAAGAGGAAGGGGATGACTGGGTCTGCTGTGCCACCCTTGAAGGTCATGAATCCACTGTGTGGAGCTTGGCCTTTGACCCCAGCGGCCAGCGTCTGGCATCTTGCAGTGATGACCGTACTGTGCGCATCTGGCGCCAGTACCTACCAGGCAATGAACAAGGTGAGGGTCCTGGAGTCAAAGGAGACTCCTTTCCTTAGAGTTCTGCCAAGATTTATGGTCTACCAAGATATAGTCTGCCACAAATCACAGTTGCATTCAGTGTAACAAGAAAGGTCTCCAGAGAAGCACTGAAAGAACTGGGGTCGCTTTGTAGAACAATGCCTTCCAACCAAATTTGAAAAGGGTATGTAGAAATTTTTTTTTTGGAAACAGGGTTTCTTTGTTGCTTTGGAGCCTGTCCTGGAACTCCATCTGTAGATCAGGCTAGCCTCGAACTCACAGAGATCCACCTGTCTCTGCTTCCCAAGTGCTGGGATTAAAGGTGTACACCACCACTACCCACCCAGCTAGGTATGTAAAATTTTTAGCAGGAGAATGTAATGCAAGAATTTCAAGTTGAAAGCCTAGCGACAGCCACCCCCTCCCTCCAAAAGAAAAGCTGCCGAGCTGGCATATACCTTTAATCCCAGTACTCAGGAGGCAGAAGCTGGGGGATCTCTGAGTACAAGGGCATCCTCGTCTACATAGTAAATTCCAGGACAGCCAGAACTACATAGTGAGACTCTGATTCAAAACAAACACACACACACAAAGAAAACCCAGCAGCATGATTTGGCTGATGGTGGGAATGTCTAAGCAGAATATGAAGAACAGGATCCCGAGACAAGGCAGAGAATTAGAAGGGAGGAGTGAAGTAGGTTGGGTTGGTTACTGAGTGGCCTTAAAAGGCAGATTAACTCATTAGATACAGCCTACAGTGGACTAGGTAGGCTTCCTTCTCAGAATTAACTCTTGGCGGCAACAGTGTGCCAGGCAGATAAGGAGGGTGGGAACAACTGGGACCAGGACTCATTGGTTGGCAGTGGGATGAGGAAAGGGCACATTAGGATCTCCTTTTAATAGTAGAAGTGCTCAGGACACAGAATGCCTTGGGCTTAAGAGAATTCTGTCACACAGGGGTGGCTTGCAGTGGCTCTGACCCCAGCTGGAAATGCATCTGCACTTTGTCAGGCTTCCACACCAGGACCATTTACGACGTTGCTTGGTAAGACCTCAGTCCCATTCCAGCAGGGATTTTAGACATGGCATGACTGTGCTGCTCTGCACTTGTTCAGATTGGGCCTGCCTTTCTGGTTTATAACCGGCTGGCCTGGGGTTCTAGGAGCAGGAAGCTGACTATACCTAAGACTGTTTCTGGGATAACATCCCCAGGCTTTCTTACCCTCTCTGAGGAGTGGGTGGGGGGTAGGGGGTGGGGAAGGTGAGGAGAGCAGGAAAAGAGGAGGGAGTGGGAACTGGGATTGGTATGTAAAATGAGAAAAGATTGTTTTAAAATAAAGTTAAAAATTAAAAAAAAAAAATCCCAGGCTTTGAGGATAGCACCAACCCTTAGGATTTACATAGCACTGGACCATTCTGAGATGATCATTGAATATATGCATTTGTAACTGAGGACTTGGTGGTTTAGTAACTGACTCTTACGAGGACTAGAAAAGCTGTTCCATTCTTAGAAGAATAGAGGTTAGAGGCCACTCTGGACCTGAGTCTTGCCATACACACCTTTAATCCCAGTTGTCAGTAACTAGAGGATCTCTGTGTTCGAGGCCAGCCTGGTCTACAGAGCCAGTTCCAGGACAGCCAGGGTACACAGAGAACCCTGTCTCAAAAAATAAATACACATCTCAAACATTCATTGCTTGACAACTAGAATTTTTGATGTTTTGTTTTTTTTTTTAACTTACTAAAATGAATAGGCAATTGAACATTTCTAGATTCAAGTTTTACACGGTGATGGGCAAAGGAGGAATCTTAAATGCTTAAAGAAAGTTCTTTTTAAAAGGACTCAATTATGGTAAAACATGTTAATGTCAGTGTTAAAAGGAAGCTAAGGATGCCATGACCTGGGCAACTGCCTATGCTAAGTGGGGAAAGTGTGATTTGGTCTCATCTGTAGCTGGGGCAACCAGGTGGGAACACCTGAGGACTAGGAGGGTCTTGGTTAGTGTGATAGTTTAGGAAAGCTTTCTGTGAGACTCTTAACTGAGGCCTGAGGTTTGGAAAGAAATTAAGCCTGCAACTGTGGAACGCTTTTCCTAATTTGCTAGGTTGGAGAGGCAGGAATCACTTGCTTACCCACTGACATGTGTGTTCCTCCCAGGTGTCAGCTGACAGGGGCCCTAGCTACAGCCTGTGGGGATGATGCCATCCGAGTATTTGAGGAGGATCCAGGCTCAGATCCACAGCAGCCTACCTTCTCTCTGACAGCTCATGTGCATCAGGCCCATTCCCAGGACGTCAACTGTGTGGCTTGGAATCCCAAGGAGCCAGGGCTCCTGGCCTCTTGTAGTGATGATGGGGAGGTGGCCTTCTGGGAGTATCACCAGACTGCAGGCCTCTGAGCTATAGCTTTACTTGACCAAGACTTTCTTAGTCACTGAGTGGTCATTTAGCTTTATGCCCTTCTGTTTGGTTGTGTAGAAGCCACAAGACCATTCACTGTTTCTCTTCCTTGATGGGAGAGAGCCATGGGACAGAGCCATGGAACAGAAGTATGTGGTATTACACATTTTGCTTGATTTAGAGCATGGTGTTACATATTTTGAGGGTAAATATAGTATTTATAATCACTATGTATGTATATAGGAGAATGTGTTTGAGAGCTTTCTGAAATTGCGAGCTTTATAGAAATAATCTATCTGTGCCCTACTTCCTGTTTTATAAATAAGGTCATTTATCATTTATAATTCCCTGTTGGAAATGAGTCCCTTCTTCCCAATTCCTAGAGAATTTTAAGACCTGCAAGCCAGTTGTGGTGTCTTCCTAGCACCTAGCACTCAATAAGCAAAGATAGGATGATCAGAAGCTCAAGGTTATCCTTGAAGCTAACTGAGGATATACAAGACCCTTTTTCAAAAAGCAAAGACACTCAAAGTTTGTTCAGAGTGAAAGAACACCTCTGCTTTTCCTTAGAAACTTTCGTGTGCCTCTTGAAACATGCTGTGGTAGCAACTGAACCTCCCACCCCAAATAGAGAATTGGTTTTCAGTGAGGGGTAGAAAATATTAAGACAATAGCTTGTGGCCCTCTTAAAAAAAAAAACAAAAAAACAAAACAAAAACAGCAACAGGTTGGGTGTGGAAGCACATACCTATAATCCACCACTCAGGAGGCAACCTGATCTACAAAATGAGTTCCATGATAACCAGGGAGCCAGAGGCCCTGTCTCAAAAAAAAAAAACAGAACAAATGAAAAAAACAAGTAAAAGACAATAGTGTGTGTGTGTGTATGTGTGTGTGCGCGCGTGTGCCCACATGCACACACTCTCCCAATCTGGTGCTTTTCAGGGCAAAGAGTAATCAGATGTCTAATAAGCCTTCTAAAGAGTGGTGAGGATGGTTTCCAAAGCTGGAGCCTTCACTTAATTTTTTTGATACTGTACAATCGTGACCTTAGATTTCTTGGAAGACAGCAGAAGCAGTATCAGAGGCAGCGGTGGCTAATGATCTGCAGATCCCTGGGAGTCTTAGGACCCTTGCAAGGTCAATACCATAACATGATCAAGGAGTGGCACCAGTTAAATAGCCATCAGCCTTCACTATCTTGTTCCCACAGTAGGAATGGAGCCAGCTTCACTTAGACAAGAAAGATGACTAATTATTATTAAACATTGACCCTTGAGAACGTCTCATACTGACAAAAGAGAAAATTCTATGCAGCCTCTCTGCTATGAAGTAAGGTGACCCTAAGGAAAAGCAGTTGGACCTTTGTTGCAAGCCATTCATGGAATGCCATTTCTATCAGAAAATTAAGCATTAAGGCTTGACTACTTAACTGTGTTTCTGAAAAATGAACACATTGAACCTTTCACTTAATAGTGTTCACTACTAATGGCAAATGTTTAAAAGACAGAATTTCTGAAAACTTTTAACAAACTTTAGTGGTAACTAAATTAGCAAATGAATAGTGAACTGTGTGGGTATCTTGAGATCTGTGGAATTTCATGGGTCATTCTCCAAATGTGCGATGTGATGATGTTACATATCAAAGGAGAGCCACAATTATTTGAAAACTCTTCTCTTTTCTCTGAAGTTGACATGTTTCAGCTCCACCACACAATGGATGAGCAAAGAAGTGGCTGGCTTGTGTTAAATGGATGTAAAGTAAGTGATTGCAACACTGTACCATGTTACCCTTCTTCTAGAACTTATTTTTTCCTAAAATATGTTAATGAAGTTATTTTGAAATGTGAACTGCCTTAATTTTTAATATAACAAGTGTCAATGACTATAACTTAGATAATAAAACATTTCAAGGCTTTGTTCTTAGTTTTCTGAAGGGGCAAGGGGGTCTTGAAACCATCATTTGAAAACTGCTGGCCTGGGGGAAAGTGAATCACCTCAGCACAGTTCACATTTATTCCTCAACAACAGAAAGTAAACATTTGAAGTTGTAGGCCTGAGGTTGTAGTAAGAGGGCATTTCAAGGAGATTATAGTCATACCTGCGGTGCGTCTTTTTTTGTTGTTGCTTTTGTTTTATTTTTTTGACACAGGGTTTCTCTGTGTAGCTCTGACTATCCTGGAATTAACTCTGAAGAATAGGGTGGCCTCAAACCCACAGAGGTTCACCTGACTCTGCCTCCCAAGGGCTGGGACATAAGGCGTGCACCACCACTGCCCGGCCCTTCCTAGTGTTACCTCCTGTGAGGGAAGAATTTCAGAACAAAGATCATGAGAAGCCCTATCTGTTAGCCAAGATGGAGTCAGCTCAGGCTGTCATAACCACTAACTTTGCCACTGTTCAGCAACATCTATAAAGGAGGCTGAGGTCATTCGCCTGCCCAAAGAGAAGCTTTGTTTTGTTATTCAGTAGAGGGCAAGTTTGTCCTCCACATACTCAGTAGGAAGATTCAGTGCTAAAATGAGAGTATTTCTGGTTAGGGCTTTGGGTTGAAGAAAATTTAGTATCTCTGTTAAGTACATAGTTTTTCCAAATCATTTATTAGAATGTCTGGCTCAGGGAGCTACAAAAAGAATGCCTTCCAGCTACTGTACACAGTTTATACTTGACATGACACTTGAAAATACTGGACCCAGTGGGAAGTAACTACATGTGGACTGGGAGCAGCAGAAGCCTGAATGGCCAGACCTCAGGCTGACAGACATGGTCTCCAAAACCAGTCCCCCAAACTGCCCACATTCCTGTTTCCAGGTTCAATGTCCCTATACATGAGAGAACGCCTCACACTCAATCTGAATCACTGTCTGTCTCAGCTTCTTTCACATCCACACTGAATTTATACTCCTGGTCACATCCCATGTAAGCATCACTCATGAAGTACAAGGTGTAGTTGTGGCCACCTGTGGCTGGGGCCACAAAGTCTAGCTTCACCTAAAGAGAACAGGCAGAAATCAGGTTAGTAGGAACCTGGGAGGAGGCAATCTACCCGTCAAACCCCAGGGATAGATGTGGGATTGAGTGCACACACTCACCTTGGCTTTCTGCTGCAGGGTCAGCCTTTTGATGGAGATAAGGCTGTTGGATTTGGCATCCCCAATCACAACCCACCAGCCCTCTTCACGTTTCTACAGGGACCAAAACAAAGAAATTAGGAATAGAAAACTCAATGGCTACAAGCAACTGTGACAACAGTTATGAACCAGAGTAGCAGAATTCATATTAAAGGTCTCCTGAATCAGTTGAGTAGACTTTTTGAAACACAACTCTTGGTAGAGTTTCTAAGGAGTCTAAAGATATCCCCTAAGGACGTAAGTCTTCAAATAAGTAGACAGACTAATTTTTCAGTTCTGCTTCATTTCCATAACCTAAGGCACCTTTTTTATTTAATATTTATCATTGAATCTAAAATGAATTAGAGATTTAGCCTTGGAGCTATGAAGGTTCAAGTTCTTAAGAAACTCAGGTGCAAGGCAAGCTAGCTGAAAAATGTTAACGTGGAGATGAACCTGCAACAGAGAGAATACAGAGCAAGCCCGTGGGGCCTCTTCTGATATCTTGTCTCTCTGGAGAAGCCCTCTCTGTTGGCCACTTTCCTTAGAAACTTGAATAATTTGTCTACAGAAGTACATGAAGTTTATCTATCATCTGCACCCAACCTTCAATTCTCCCACAAAAAGGTGAGATTTCCTTTCTGTTAATTTAAAAACATGCAACTAGAACCTGAGTGAAATATAACTGAGGAAAGATTAAGTAGAAAAGTGCAGTGTCGGGGCTGGAGAGATGGCTCAGTGGTTAAGAGCATTGGCTGCTCTTCCAGAGGACCCAGGCTGTACTCCCAAGCACCCACATGGCAGCTCACACCTGTCTGTAACTCCAGTTCCAGGGGATCTGACATCCTTACACCAATGCACATAAAATAAAGTTAAATAAAGTATTTAAAAAACAGTTCAGTGTACTGAGCCATTTGTAGACAACTGTATCTTAAGAGTCAGATAAACATTGCCTGATGTTTTTTTTAACAATGGATAGCCATCTAACTTGTTTAAAAACAAACAAACAAAAAAATAATCCATGGTTCCGAGACTAAATACTCAGCCTTGTGAGTTCATTACCCCAGGCTGCCCTTCCCTGGTGGGAAAGGTATCCTGTACCTAAGATCTAGCCAGTGAACAAGGCCTCAAGTGGACTCAGGGCCAAGCCAGCTGCTAGAACATACCTGTGGGAAGAGTGGTGCAATAACAGGGCCTGTGACTTCCTCTTCTCGCTCCAGCTGCACTAGCACCACAACTGGGCCACCGCTGGTGAAAGCAAAACAACACATGAGTACTGTAGTTGTGGACAGAGACCCCAGGGCAGGACTCCTGACACTTCGTCTCACCTGCGGATGCTATCTTTATCCACCACTTCATAGGACAGCTCAATATTCGGGTAGCGGTTACAGAAACGGGCCACATCTGCAATCTGGCTGTCAGTCAACTGAAGCAATGCATTCCGCTCTTCATCTTCCATCTCCATGATGTCAAAAACACTCTCCACTCCCTACAGTGGGTATGCAAAGGTCAGGGGAGCAGAGAACACATACCACAAGCAAGTAAACAGTGGATCTAAAGAACTAGTCATTCTGCATCCCACACTGCCAAGTCATCTAAAAACAGCTTTAGAAAGAATACAGACCACTTCTGGCCCCTCTCAGCATCTTGATTCAGATGGAACTTCTTCAAAGGAGCCAGCTCCCCCTGCTAATACTTGCCCCCACAATCTACCTGCAGATCAGGACTTTCTGTTCTCGGGCTCATCTCCCAACACTCCGGGTCTTAGCTCACCTTATCTGTGCAACGTTTGATATGCTCTGAGGTGAAGTGTGGCAGCTGCTTCAGATAAGAGTCCTTAGACCACATGGCTTGGGTGACCATCTGAGCCAGCTCCATGGCTGCCAGAGCAGGGCTGAGCCACCCATTACTAGAGAGTACATCCACACAGGCCTGAATGAGCCGGATTGCCTGTATGGAGAGGGAATAAAAGAGCAGATTGGCTGGGAACCCAGTCTTCTGAAGTCCCTATGGCCAGTGAGCCTCCAACTGCTACCCACACTACCTTACTAAGGATTTCCTCTGTGTCTGACTGTAGTTCAGCACTCAGCTGCATGCGTGACAGGTGAGCCTGCAGTAGCAGGTTGGTCTTCACATGTGGATCATTGAACTTGGGGTTATTCAGCTTGTGGGGAACCTTCTGAGCCAACTGGAACGTGAAAGAAAAAAAAACTGGTGACAAACAGAGGACTCTACCTGAGACCTGTTTAGGCCGAACACACCATGTGGCCCAGGCACTCTAGAGGGAGAAAGATGGAGAACTGTAGGTAAGTGTGGAAGGGAGAATGAGGTTCAGAGAGGTAAGAGAAATGGATGGGGTGACAGGAAGTCATGTGCTTTGGCATATGGGTCAAATTTTGACTCTTAAATGATCTTCTAAAGCCAATGCCCTCACCTGGCGCAGTAGGTTGTCTTCATGATGCCTGATTGGAATGTTCTCATACTCTGCCGCGTTGGAAATGATCTCAATAAGTCCTCGAACCTTGGTTTTAGCATTCAGAGACATGCTGAAGAGCTCTGAAAGAAGATGAGAGAATGTGATAAGAGCCAATGGTGGGAAAAAAGGAACAGAGGAACAAGAATCAACTGCTTTCTTGCAGTATCATCTCTTTGGCAAATACTGGCTGTCACATCTCATCCCAACAGACTCCAGAAGCCCATGTGTCACTAGTCCTCACCAATGGTGGTGTAGTTTATATAATAGTAGGCAGCAATCATGCCCAGATTCAGAGGGGCCACATCCATCTCATCCTCAATGCTGATGCACTTGGACTGCTCCAGGTCACTAAGGGTCTGTTCCACCAGCTCTGATAAGTGGTCAGACAAATGACGATGGGATATTCCTGTAGAGATGTAAGAGGGAGTCTCAGGATACCGCCTGGCACGGGCTTGAAAACCTCCAAGGGCAGTGTGTGCTCTTCAGTTCACTGACCCTGAAGGTTGTAGTAATTGGGGTTCTGTGTCATCCGGCGATACAGAAAGGTCCAGGTGAGGTAGTCCACAGCATCCTGCTTGTTCTCAATGGTCTTGGTGACTATCTCAGCATTGAAGTGGTCATGCATACAGTGGTCCAGATGAGACTCTACCGGCAATGGCTCATATAAAAACTTTTTGAAAAAATCCTGTGGATTGGGGAGGGGAGCCATTAAAAAAGAATGACAACATGGTAATAAGGGGTCAAGGGCAATCCAAGAGGGAATGGCATCTGTGTGAAATCTATACATACACAACAGCCAAATAAAGAAACAATTAGAGAAGAGTATCATGATACAAAGCAGGAATGAGATATGCCAAGCCACACAGAGCAGTAAGCAGTCCATGGCGAAAAACAACTAATGAGTGTGGGAAGACAAGGACTCACCTGCAGTAGCAAAACAAGGAACAAAATTCTGTGTGACTCTAGCTTATTAAAAAAGCAACTAGCAGAAAGGATGGAAAAGTGTATTAAAGACATTAAAAAAAAACATTCAAGAATCTGTTCAAAGGCTCAAAGTTTCCTGTAACTGACCTTTTTGGAGCCTTGACACATGATGACACAGCGCCCCTCATCATCCTGCAGGGGGCGGTTGGCATGGCCCACCATCTGAAGCACATCATAGATGGGATAGTCCACATAGCTGGTGGCACAAGAGAATGAGGGAACATGCGGAAGATGCAGAGGTAATAAGATAAGGTCAAGCTACAGCAAAGCTGGCCATGAACCTGTGTGTGCTTAGTGACTCATTCCACTTGCTTACCTACACATTATTTTAGTTTCTAAGTCAAAGAG